AAACTAGCCGTTTTTTCCCCTTTCCAACGACTATAAAAATAAAAAATAAAAAAAAAAATTCAAATTTCCGAAATTTCAACGGTCAAAAAAAAAAACCGGATCGGATCCGGTTTGAACCGAATCCGGTTCTCAATCCGAGGGTCAATCCGGTCAAAACCGGTTTTGACCAAATCCGGATTTTGGATCGGATCGGATCCTAGAGCCCAATCCGGTTTTTGTGCCCATCTCTACCCATCTCTGAATGTTTTTTAAGTCTATTGTTTCTACACTAGGTCTAGGCTCAAAGTTTGTGTCAAATGTTCATTTTCCTTCTTGTTCTATCAATAAAAGTCAAAAATTACCATTTGGTCCCAACTCGTTTGTTGCCACTCAACCACTTCAACTCATTAACTCATACGTATGGGGCCCTGTTCAAAAATCCATTGACAACAATACCTATTATGTTATATTTGTTGATTATTTCACCAAATATGGCTGGCTATATCCCATGACCCACAAAAGTGATGTAGCAAAAATATTCCCACCATTCAAAGCACTTGTTGAAAAATACTTTCAACACCCCATCGTTTCTTTATTCAGTGATAATGGTGGTGAATATCAAAGCCTCCTACCGTTTCTACAAACTCATGGAATCTCCCACTATACCACCCCTCCCCACACCCCAGAACAGAATGGTATTGCTGAACGCCGTCACCGACACATTGTCGAAACCGGCCTAGCCTTGCTACACTATGTCAGCCTTCCGTTAGCATATTGGTCTCATGCATTCCAAACTGCAGTGTACCTGATCAATCGCCTTCCCACTGTTATCCTCAACAAAAAATCACCTTACGAGTGCCTCTTCCATCAACAACCCAATTACTCTAAAATAAAACCTTTTGGATGTCTATCTACCCTTGGCTCAGACCATATACCACATCCAAACTTCAACCCCAATCCAAACCATGCCTATTCCTCGGTTACTCCTCATCCAAGTTCGCATTTAAATGCTATGACCTCGAAACAAAAAAAACTATATCATTCCAGACATGCAGAGTTTGTCTCTAATCACTTTCCAACACATAAACTAAACTCCACCAAACCGCTACCCACACCTGACATATTCCTTACTCCACACTCACCTTCGGATCAAGACACCCATATACCACCTGCACCTGCAGCCACTCCCCTACACACCACTCCACCCCTTATACTATCAACTCATGAAAACCACATAACACATGATGATCAACCTACATCTCCAGGTGCCGCATCACCCTTGTCACCACTATCCCCAGCCGAATCATCACCCACAAACTCTCCGCCAAACAACTCCCCACCATCACCTCACATCACTCCCCTACCATCACCAGAACCACTACCTGCCCGGCGCCCTCATAAACTCAACTCCAAATACTACAACCCGCTTTTTATTAACACCACCACATTACACCCGATTCCACCCTCTATCGAGCCTCATACTCATGTACAAGCCCTTAAAGATCCTCACTGGCGTAAGGCTATGGATAATGAATTCAATGCTCTACTCACCAATGGCACATGGGAATTAGTTCCAAAATCCTCTCATACTCCAATCGGATGCAAATGGATCTTCCGTATCAAAAGAAACCCGGATGACACCATTGAAAAATATAAAGCCTGCCTTGTAGCCAAAGGCTTTCTCCAACAGTATGGAAAAGATTATTTCGACACATTCAGCCCTGTCACTAAGCCTGTCACCATTCGTACAATTCTGTCCATAGCCATCTCTCAGAATTGGCCACTAAGACAACTAGATGTCAACAATGCCTTCCTTCATGGCACCCTCCATGAAGAAGTATTCATGTCCCAACCTCCATGCTTCGTTCATCCTCAATTTCCCAACCACATATGCAAACTAAAAAAATCGCTATATGGGCTCAAACATGCACCCAGAGCATGGTACAATGAGCTCATCATGTACCTTCTGTCTGTTGGTTTTCGCAAATCAAGAGCTGACCCATCACTCTTAATTTACAATCACAACCACATCCATAGTTATCTTATTGTCTACGTCGATGATTTTGTCCTCACTGGTAACAACAGCTCTTTCCTAGATCAATTTTCACCAATTTAGCAAATCGTTTTTCAATTAAAGACCTTGGTCCCCTTCACCACTTTCTTGGAGTTGAAGTCATCTCTACTCCCACGAGTTTGTTTCTATCTCAACACCAACATATTCAAGATCTATTAACCCACTTTCACATGGATGGAGCAAAAGAGGTGGCCACCCCACTGAACCCTTCAGTTACTCTCAAATTGCAAGACCGGTCCTCCGGTGTTGATCCTACACCGTATCGGAAGCTTGTTGGGTCTCTTCAATACTTAGCTTTTACACAACCAGACATCTCGTTCGCAGTCAACAAACTCTCCCAGTTCATGCACTCGCCATCCGAAACTCATTGGCAGTCACTAAAACGAGTCCTCCGATACTTGAAAGGTACGATTCATCATGGCCTATTTCTTAATCGCAGGTCCTCTATGGTGCTCACGACCTTTTCAGACTCTGATTGGGGTGGCATTAAATGTGGAGGTCGTTCAACAACAGCATATCTTCTCTACCTTGGATCCAATATCATCTAATGGAGGTCAGCACGTCAAAAATCGGTCTCTCGATCCTCCACAGAAGCTGAGTACAAAGCTCTTGCCAATGCAGCATCTGGATTAGCATGGGTTCAGAACCTCTTAAGCGACTTGGGGATCTCCTCAACACCTTCACCAACCTTATACTGCAACAACACAGGTGCAACTTATTCTTGTGCAAATCCCATATATCATTCTCGGATGAAACATGTTGCCCTCGATTACCATTTTGTTCGTGAAAAAGTCACTGATGGCTCCTTACAAGTACGCCATATCAACTCATATGACCAACTTGCTGATGCACTCACCAAACCACTCACTCGTGCTCCCTTCCAAAGATTACGTTCCAAGATTGGAGTCTCAGATGGATCCTCCATCTTGCGGGGGCATATTAAGGAATAAAATACCAACTATATCTTTTATATATTTAGAGTTAGTCATGTGTTAATACTTAGTCAATTCACAGTTGTATAATCCTGTATTAGTTCCTAATTTAGTGCTTAGGGTTGTTGTACCATATTTTGGCTATATAAGCCACGCTCCTGTACATTTTTATTCAAGCAATAAGATACACAATTCAATATAGGGTTAATGTCATAAAAACCCTCAAGTTTTCAAGGTTTTGTCGGTTTTGCCCAAAGTTGAATTTTATGTCGGTTTTTACCCTAACATTTCCGAAAAAATGTTCGGTTTTACCCTTTTACCGGTGATAACAGGTTTTCCATGTTAACATTATATTAAATTCGCAAAAAAACCCTTAAGTTTACTATTTTTTTTTGCGTTTTTACCCTTAAGTTTATAAATTTTTTTACACTTTTACCCTAAGTATTTTTTTTCATAATATACGTATTCATGCAGAAAAATCGTATTTATATACAAAAAAATGTTTAATTAAATATTGTATTTGTTTTTAATGTTATATATATATATATATATATATATATATATATATATATATATATATATATATATATATATATTTGTTTGTGTGTGTGTGTGTGTTTTTTTGCAAGGTTATATCATTTAAAAAGATAAATAATATTTTTAGAATTATGAATATGTGTTTTATAGATATAGTTTTTAGAAGTATAAATACATATTTTTACATTTTTATATATTAATATGTATCTATACTTCTAAAAATATATTTATACTTTTTAAAAAAACATATATCAAAATACATATTTACACTTCTAAAAATATATGTATATACTTATATAAAAATGTTTATGATTGAACAAGTTTTTTTTATTGATATGTATATTTTTAAATACATAAAAATACGTATTTGTTGTTCTAAAAACATATTAATTTGTTTTTTTTACAACTTAAATGGTTTATCCAAGAAAAAAACCTATACACACACACACATATATATATATATATATATATATATATATATATATATATATATATATATAAATAACATTAAAAAATGTAAATACAATGTTTAATTAAATTTTTTTTCGTATATAAATATGATTTTTCTGTATGAATATGTATAATATGAAAAAAATACATAGGGTAAAAGTGTAAAAAAAATTGTAAACTTAAGACTAAAAACGTAAAGAAAACTGTAAACTTAATGGTTTTCTGCGAAGTTAATATGATGGTAACCTGTTATCACCGGTAAAAGGGTAAAACCGAACATTTTTTGGAAAATGTTAGGGTAAAAACGGACATAAAATTCAACTTTGGGCAAAACCGACAAAGCCCTGAAAACTTAAGGGTTTTATGACATTAGCCCTTCAATATACCCTATTGCTATAAGGTAGCCGTGGTTGACCCCTATTCACCATTTAGACGATTAATTTATAGAAGTCGGGTTATGACTGCCTGGTTTTAAATTGTAGAAAAATCAACTAGCTAGTACCTTCCAAAAGCAGTCAATCTTATTTCTTATAATAAGTTGTATTAATTTACAAAAAAATAAATAAATAAATCTATTATTATTGTGACATACATTTATAAGATTCGTTTGTAATAAAATATTAAATTCTTGGTACTTAAAACGAAAAAGAAACTCCTCGTTACAATAATAAGGTTCCTTATATGTTTTATGAGACTGTTGTTATTTAATTATTATCTAATAAGATATTATTCGAATTAACTGTTTAACTGTTTCTCACATATATATATATATATATATATATATATATATATATATATATATATATATATTTTATCATTCTTTTGGTCAAAATTGATTTCTCGATTAAGTATCCATACAACTCATTTCTCGGTCCTACAAAAGCAGCCGCAATGTATATACATATTTGGCATGCATGGTTGTATTAGGCAGACTGGCGTGGACTAATTAAATTAATCCACTTCTTCTTCATCAAATTCTTCATTGTGTTTCTCATATTGATAATTCCAAGTTCAATAAGAAAATTAAAATGGTCTGCGACAAGAGTTTTTCAAGCAGTTACATGCTGCTAAATCATGAGGAGGTTGGCGTTTTTGATCTCGTTCACATGCTACGCTCCCATGCAATAGAGAAAAGGAACTTTGTCGACTGTCCAAAGGGGATGACAGAGGAAAACTTTAAACAAAGATGGTTATTATCCATGTCTGTTTTGGCTCAAAAGATGCTTAAATCTATCAAGAAACCTTTGGCTGCCATGGGTTCGGGTATTGAGTATTGGCTCAATCTTGTCTCGTGTAATCGTAACCTTAGTGGGTTAATCTCAAACTGGATACGAGGTTAGTTTTGATATGCTCTTTCTAATATATATCGTTTATACCATTATTGGTAAAAGTGGTTTACTTTCTTTATACGCTTTACGGTATAATTTACATGAAGAATTGAGATTTTAAACATATATTTAATAATAAGTTTTAATGTTTCTTATATGTTTTATATGTTTTGCGAGTTATTTATCAATTCTGCCTTAATTCAAATTTTAACTGGTTCGCGTATATTTATATACCAAGCCATTTTGACCTTAGCATTAATAAAAAAAAGTATATGAACCACGTTTCAGTTTAGATATTATTTTGGTATAAGTGTATAGAGATTGTATGTATTACTTATGCCCACTTTAGGTCTATTATATAATTAGTCTTGGTCAATTATCCGTCTTGTAATATATGTGTATATATTGTTGATTAATGATCAACAGAGATATCGGTCCCTTGATAGAAAAATATTATCCAATACAGCATCGAGCTAAAATTATAAACCCTAGCCTCCTTTTTGTTTCACGTCTACCCTCTCCCTCGTCATCGACACTTTTTTCTGTTGACTTCTTTCTCAGTTCCCATAACCACAACGACAATTAACCTCATCCTACCATCGAGAAACCCTACCTAATCACTAACATTAAGGAATTCATTCTCTTGGTTCTCAATCTCAACCGTCTCAATTCTGACACATGGAGAGCGATCTTCAAAACCCACTAGAATGGTTTTGGGATGATCGACAACATCGATGGATCAACAGATGACTAGTTGTCCAACCAACCGGATCCTAAATAACAAAGGTTGACTCCATTGTGAAACTATAATTTACGAAACAATCTCCCAATCACTCATCCGGATGATCTTCATGAGAAATGCCTTTACTTGGACCATATTGATTAACTTGGATACATTTTTTTCATGATAATATAAATATCAAGTATATTTAACATAACACCGGATTATGCAAGATTAGAATTAGATACTTCACCATCACTTTATATTGCACTTGTATCAAGGCCATATTTAACCTTCTCGCAATTACCGACTATATAATTACTGAAAAGAACTTTGTCACGTACATGATCAATGGTTTGATGCCTAAATATGAGATCAATTAATCCTGAATTAATTCAGATTAATAATTAACAAATTCTAATTGATTTCATATTAATACATTAATTATATAAATTAACAAATCAGTTATTTAACAATTGATCTCATATTAATTTATTAATCACATAATAAATTAATAAATCAACTTTTTATTTCCAATTGATATATTAATCATATAATATATTAACAAATTATTTATTACACTTTATTAATCATATAATAAACTAATAAATTTATACTCTCTCTACAAATGTCATATAAGTTTATACCAATTTATTTATGAACTTAGACACCTTAATCCAATAGTTGACACAACACAACCCTCACCAAATCACTTCACTTCATCATATATTTAGCATAATGAATTTTGAAGTATCAAAAGTGACAATGGCTAGTTTATGAACATCAAATCACATCTCACCTTTACTTAAACATATATATTCTTTCGACCATTTTTAATAAAATCATTTTCATTCGATTTTAGTTGGGTAATAGATCAATTTGATTTTAGTTGGTTAATAAATCCTCCATGCCTGTTACAAGATCAGGACACTCCTAATTCCCAACTTGTACAAATGACTTTATAACCATAAACATTATTAAAACCCTTATTTTCCCATTAGTGTGCTTACCTTGACAAAATGTTCAGCTAAATTTGATCAATTTTATTTTTCAGAAAAGTACTACTATATGTAATAAACTATTTTTCATTGTGAGAACTTGGGCGACCCCTTTCTAGCACTAACTTGGCTAGTCGGTCAAATAGTCAAAATTTAATTCAAAATAGAAAAAATTAAAGTATTTCAAGATTACGATTTTACTTTTTTATTTTACTTTATAATATTATAACGCTAAAATCATTGTAAAATACAATGGATAAATGTATTATATACACATCCATATCTCTCACTCTTACCTTTAAGATTTCCAAAAATAAAATGTTTATTATTTGAACAAGTTTAACATTCAAACATGTATACTTTTGTTGTAATTATCCAATTTTGTTGGGAACTTAAAGCACCTTTTGATATTTTCCATATATAAAGTAACACGAAAACTACTTGCTTTATTATTCACTCTATCTGAGTACTCCCCGCCTTTTGAGTACTTGCTTTATTATTTACTCTATATGAGTACTCCCCACCTACAACGAGTACTCGTTACTCCCAGTCGACCGACTATATATCGAGTATCGAGTTTTGCAAAACGAATTTCTAGAAATTGAAAATATAAATACACTCAATTTCACACTTATTTTTTCAACATTGTCATACAATTCCATTTTTTTGTGTCCTCAAACCTCTCAAAAAATGGTAAATCCAAACACATGCTGCTGACCATCAATAATCACATTTTGTATCATCATATTCCAAGCTCGCCTTCCACCCCACTTTTAGGTTGAGATTTTGAAAAATGGCCACACATATCCTAAATATACTATGCTTAATTTTTTCATTATTGAAACACCCTTGTATTGTATGTTGCACAACTATCCCAACTATGAACATTGATGGGTGCTCGGGCGTCTATCCTACCTCTACCTCACCACTCCAAATAAATTGACCCCATGCATGTTTCTTGGATATCCTTCCCATCATTGCTGTACCATTATGTCTACCTTTCCACCAACAAAATTTTCATTTCCTATCATATCTAATTTGATGAATCTATTATCTCATTCAAGTTCATGACCCATACTAACCCACCCTCATATGAATTCCTTAATAACTTCTTATAATAATTAATGTTATCTTGTTTTTCTGCGGGTCACAAAATTTCTCACTACATCCTTTGGTCATTACTATGTTTACTTTAAACCTCCCACACTCACCCTAAGCTCTCCCACCTTTCTAAATTCCCTATCCATGACAATGACTCACATTTCCCCCTACCAACCCACCCCTAACCATCCACGACCCATACCATGCCTTCCTTGAATGTAACCTACAATAGGTTGCAAACACATCACCCTAGCAATGACTTCCTTTTTTTCCAACCCACTTCATCTCTCTTGGCCCTTAGCACATGCCCTACTTCTTCCCACCTAATGTTAACCCATTCCAAACAGGGAATCTCCAAGACAATTTATCGCTTAAACATAAACATAAAAACCTTTCACATACTCTTTGATCGAATATGCCAATTCTAAAGGACCCTAACTAACCAACGACTATGATGGATACTTTAAATCTATTAATATAAATAAGACTTATTCTCTCATAGTTGGTCTATGTAGATATTTAAAATGAAGTTACATGTCTATGGATCCTTAGCTTGTTACAAAGTCTTAGCTTGTTGCAATGGGGAAAAACCAACATCTTAGGTCATATATGACTGGTACTTTAGCATACTAGTCAAGCTCACAACTATATAGATTATTCCAATTTTTTGTCCTTTGCTAGTGGCACCTACATTAGTTTGGCATCAAGAACACATTCCTTCATGGAAATCTTTAAGAGGCTATCTTATTGCACCAACCTTAAGGATTTTATGAAAAACATTTTCCTTGATCATGTATACCACGTGTGTCGCTCTCCCTATATGGCATGAAGTAAGCAACATGAGTATGGTTCCAGTAGTGTTCTAATTCAATTGGCTTAATAATAGAAAATAATATTATTCTATTTTTGTATCCTTTGATCTTACTAACTACTTTATGTAGATGACCTCGACTTGACAACATTGTCCATAACTCTCTTATGACAAGAAATTAATTTATGAGCCATAAGTTCTCCATGTTTGACTTGGAAAAACTCAACTACTTTTTTAGGATTTCTACCACTCAAATACTTTTAGGTATCTTCCTTAGCCAACAACAATACACCATTGAGATCCTTAAGCATGAGATCATGCAACATTGCATAGCATACACTGAGTTAAAGTCAAAGTTAGATAGTTTCAAACAACCAGTTTCTAACCCCACGAAGTATTTCAACCTTGTCGCTTCACTTCAGTAGCTCACTTTCACGAAAAGATACCTCACATATATAGTTATATTAAACATACAAATTCATGTATGACATGCATAATGCCATTTTGTTGCTCTAAAAGTTCATTTTATGATATAATTAAGGTATCCTTACCTATGTCCTAAAATTCTTACCTCAACTTCTATATATATATTGTTCCATAGTTTGAAGATACGTGGGGAATATGTCCGAACACCAGATGTTCCACGTCCAGTTACTGAGTTTTTTGGGTCGTGCCCTCCTTTCATGGTTATCCAAGCGCTAACCGTTGTTTCTCGTTCTAATGTCGAGGCTAAGTATCGCGACGTTGCCAATGTAGTTTCAGAGACATGTTAGCTCCCATAATCTTCTTCAAGATATTCACTCCTCTCTTCCTGAAGTTGCCACAGTCAATGACGATAAAGTGAGTTTTATGTATATGTTACCCAACATATGATCGCCAAAGCACATCTCACGACCAATTTCTTCTCGACCAACTTGTTTTTAGTCATGTTCAAGTCTTCATGTTCCATCTAGTTTGTGGTATGCATATTTGTTCAAAAAAGGGCTTTACAGATCTCTCTTTCACAAGTTAATTTCATGTTTGAACGTTCGGACAATACATTCCGATAAAACATAAAAGGTATGTAAGTATATAGAAACTATTATTTAAGCCCACTTTGGGCCTATTAGTCTAAAACCGCAAGCCTTGTTGTAATATATGTACATTGTTGATTAAAAAATATGAGAAATTAAATATCTTCCTACATTTTCTTTCTACTTATCCTTCTTTCCATATCAAATGTTGACATGTGTCACATTTAACGAAATTAATAATATGTTAATTCATTTGTCACAATTTAATATGAATATGATGATAGATATGAAGAAAATCTAAAAGCGTATTTAATTTTTTAAAAATATGGATCTTTAATGTGACAATACATCAATCCGATTTTAATCTTAACTCGTTGGTATTTTGAATTTAGGCCTCAATAAGAAAGTTATATGTTTGAATTTTTAAATTAACGAAAATAGTAATAGTTTTGGTCATCTTAATAGCCATTTAGAAATAAATAATTTATAAATTAAGTTTTATTTACTTTATTCAAAGGATGGTGATTTGTACACACTACTTTTTAGTTATACACAACAATTTAGACTGACACAATTGTGCTTTACAACTATATAAAACATTTGTTATGTATCGTTAAAAAATTTAAATAACTCGACCAACATATACAGGAAATGGGTTTACATTCTTTATGTCCCAAACCAGATATATCGGTATTGGGCTCCTTGTTTTAAAGTATAAACGGACATTACATTATAATAGGATAACAAATTTACTTTGCCCATCATATTAATTATAGTTCGACTTGTATCGAGCCCAAATAAGTCGGCAGAAATTTGATTGACTGGTTTTTAGAAGTCAAGACTTCCAATATAAAATTAATTAACTCGATAAAAAAAACAGCACTTTTTTATTGCAAGTTGCAACCACTGCATTGCTTAACAAAGCAAGTCATCTTTTTATTTGATGTATTTTTACGATAACGAGATATACTAAGAATGAAATTTAAGCTAAAAAATTCTAGGTTTCATAGTGAAAAGTTTCAACAAACAAATATGCCAAAAAGTTAAACTTCAAAACTTTCTGTCGTTTTCATTATTCATTTTGTTTTATTCTCTATTGTAGGGGAAATGATCCGACCTGAAAGATCATTATCGACGTTCATATCTTTTACTGGATGTCTAGACACACGAATTGAGTTAGATAAAGACATTGTTGAATCTGGAGATAAAGATAGATACAATTGCTTGCTCTCAATCATGGCTGCTAAAGCATCTTATGAAAACCATGCTTACCTTCAACATATTGTCATTGATATCTGGAAGGTACTATATATAGTTAGTTTCTTTTGACAAAAATATGTATTTTCTTCTGATCAAAATATGTTGTATGTAACCAAACATTTCAATTGCAGATGGAATTATTGGGGTCTTTTGATTTTTGGAATGGTAAGTAACAAGGTATCTAAATGAAACTTCTCCCATAATTAGGTGACTTTACGAACATTATCCTAAATAAAAATATCATCTCACATATCATTCGTATATCTTTTGAAGATTATCAACAGAAAGCCACAACACAAGCCTTCATACTTCGTGATAAGAAAGAAGATTCTGAATTGATAGTTGTCGCCTTTAGAGGAACAGAGACCTTCGATGCAGATGCATGGTCTTCAGATGTCGATCTTTCATGGTATGAACTCCCAGGGATAGGAAAAGTGCATGGTGGGTTCATGAAAGCCCTAGGGTTACAAAAGAGTCTAGGTTGGCCAGAAGAAGTAACCCATCGAACCAAAAATCTAGAACAACCATTAGCATATTATGTCATCAGGGACATGCTAAAACAAGCTTTGAAAGAAAATAACAAGGCTAAGTTTATCGTAACTGGTCACAGCTTAGGTGGTGCACTTGCAGTATTGTTTCCAGCAGTTCTAATGTCGCATAATGAGGTAGAGTTATTGGATATGTTAGAGGGTGTGTATACATTTGGGCAACCAAGAGTCGGGGACAAAAGATTTGGAAAGTTCATGAAAGAAAATTTCGAGAAATTTAACGTGAAGTATTATAGGACTGTTTATAGCAACGATTTGGTTCCAAGATTACCTTATGATGATTCGACCATGATGTTTAAGCACTTTGGGACCTGTTTATACTTTGATAGCTTTTACAATGGAAAAGTAAGCATCTATCTCTCTCTCCCTCTCTCTCTCTTTCTCTCTCTCATTTGACACGTACGTAGGTCTTACTATATCACGGGGTTATTGCAGATTATGGAGGAAGAACCAAATAAGAACTATTTTTCGCCATTATCAGCTTTACCTAAGTTGATCAATGCAGTATGGGAGATCATAAGAAGCTTTATGATTCCATATACACGGGGAGCGGACTACAATGAAGGGTTTGTACTTAAGATGTACAGATTCACCGGGTTACTGATTGCCGGAGTACCAGCTCATGGTCTTCAAGATTATGTTAACGTTGTGCGTTTAGGATCAGATTTATACAAAGATCCCAGGTTGATCAAAGATAACGATATAAAGCTTATGATCGATGATGGAACCTTGATGTGACATGGATTTCGTTATTTTTGAAATAAATTAAATTTATAATTGATGGTGAATGGACTTCGTTATATTTGATCGTTTGAAATAATTTTTAAGGTATCAGTTTGCCATAATCAAAGAAAAGAATTACAAATCGTTATTTGCGTAAAAAGCGTGTCAGATTTGTTTTGTAAAGAAGAAAATATATGAAGTTCCACACAAACATCATTCTCCCACTACGAAAAACCAAAATTAGTGATGAAATTTCGACGGAATTGTGACAAAGATAAAAACTATAATTTTGTGACGAAATACGGACACAATAGCGACAGAAATAACTTCCGTCGAAAATCCGTCAGTAATTACCGACCGAATAGCGACGGAATGTAAGCGAAATATGTGACTCTGACCGTCCGTTTGCGGATGATAAGCAGTGCTAATGTGCAACCTCGTAACCAGTTCCTCATGGAACTTCTGCTAAAAACAAGACCTGAATCACACATCACGATCAGATACAATAAAGTCTGGAATGCCATGCTGAGAAACGATCTCGTGGACGTAAATATCGGCCCATTTCTCGGCCGACGAGCCCTGACGAATGGGTAAGAAATGGGTAATCTTGGTCAACTAGTCCACAATTACTCAAATTACATTAAACCCCTTAGTCGTTCGCGGTAACTTGGTGATGAAATCCATGGTGATTTGTTCCCACTTCCACATGGTTACCTCCAAAGGCTGAAGTTTTCCACGCGGTCTATGGTGTTTGGCATTGACCATCCGATAGGTCAAGCACCTCTCAACATACCAGACTATCTCTCTTTCTCTCTCTCTCGCTCACTCTTCATGCACGCCCACCAATAACTAAGTTGCAAATCCCGATACATCTTGGTGGCTTTGGGGTGTATCGAAAACCTGGACTTGCCTCCGGAACAGTTTACTTGATCCCACCAAAGTCTAGCACCCAAACCCGTCCTAACCGGGTCAATAATGTTGGAAAATATTTGTATGTGATTGTCACTTGAAATAAGTTGAGTCTATGTCTATATCTGTCACAACTAGCATTTTGGCTAGGAAATTCCGTCCTCATGTAAGTAATGACTATGGTGAGACTTGTGCTAACACATTTAAGTGTACAATATGAGTTCCTAATGAGCCATGTAATGTTAGAATGCAAATCTCTCCAAGTATATGAAATCCCTCCAAGTATACCAAATCTCTCCCAAATCTCTCCAAGTATGTGAAATCTCTCCCAAATCTCTCCAAGTATGTGAAATCTCTCCCAAATCTCTCCAAGTATATCAAATCTCTCCAAGTATATCGAATCTCTCCCAAATCTCTCCAAATATATGAAATCTCTCCCAAATCTCTCCAAGTATATCAAATCTCTCCAAGTATGTGAAATCTCTCCAAGTATGTGAAATCTCTCCCAAATCTCTCTAAGTATGTGAAATCTCTCCCAAATCTCTCCAAGTATATCAAATCTCTCCAAGTATATCGAATCTCTCCCAAATCTCTCCAAGTATATAAAATCTCTCCAAGTATATCGAATCTCTCCAAAATCTCTCCAAGTATGTGAAATCTCTCCCAAATCTCTCCACGTATCTCAAATCTCTCTACGTATCTTCCTCAGTCGAAAACAGCTCAAAAACCGAAGTAGAAAACTCAAAAGGACCCTCTTGGTTCGGAATCCTCTTGGTCTGGAACCCTCTCTACTTCGGACCCTCTGATGGATTAGGGAGAAGCCTCTCATCCAGACCACACCATTTCGGAGCCTTCAGAATTGCTTCGGAACCTCGCACCGGAAGACTAGCCCCGCTTCGGAATACCCTGCCCGCTTCGTGCCTACGGATCTCACATGTGCCTCCGGATCCGAGAATACACTCCGGAATTTGATAAATGACTCCGGATCTGTGAGAATGGCTCCGGAACTTAAGAATTGACTTCGGACCCTCGCAGGCTCCGGACTCCACTCCGGATTTTTGTCCATTTCGGACTTTTTCGTCATTTTAAGATATTTTGACATCGGGAATCCCTCCAAACTCGTATTTTTCATATCTTAGACCCCTTAAACCCCTATTTTATGCCAAAATTGATTATTTTAAACATATTTATATAAAATAATACCCAAAATTTTTAAAGGGATTCTAAGAAGATAAGGGTTGACTCTATGATGTGACATTCCATCAAGTTCCAAGACAATCACGGATAAACATGCAATATCCACCAGGTAACCAAGCACACCTTATCACTCCCTTATCCTCTTTAGGAGTAAACTCATTCTTTATTTCCACCAAAAACTCAATTCACATTGTATGAACTCCTAAGATGCTCCCAAGTGCATTCAAGTTTCAATCTGATTTCTTTCAAAGAAATTTCCAAAATTCTTGTAAGTATCTCCTAATTTGCTAAGTGATCCTTCACATTGTTCTGTTAATATCACCATATTTACGCATAAAATTATGTGTTAATATTCTTAGGGCATCCTCAAGTTCAAAGAGTTTATCAAACTCTCCAAGGGTTAGAACTTGGAAACTCCTCAACACTTCTTCAAATCACCCACAAAACTAACTCAAGGTGAGCTTCATACCCCTACTTTTTCGAGATTTCTATTGTTTTTGGGGAGGAGAATACAAGTCAAAGTCTTGTGTAAATCATGATCTATTTGCGTTTTGTGTATGCATGCCATCTTACATGTGCTTAAGTATGAAAACCCTTATAAATAGTCCAAAAACTTGAGATTTTGGTTAAGTCTCAAGAGTTTGGATTATATCTCACAAATCACGTTTGGAATCAAGAACTAGTATGTTACCAAGTATAAGTCACGAATTTTTATAACAACAACTATAAGGATTTGCTTCAATAATTGCTTAAACAAGTTGTTGGGCAAAATATTTTGAAAATGATTAAAGTATGGAAATAATAATATTTTGGATCATTTTTGGCCAAACATAAATACAAGGGTTATCTTGGAATATTATGTCACACTCATGACTTTTTACCAGATTAACAAACTATTTGTGATTATTTATAATTATTTAATATAAATAATTTTATCAAGAAAAATATACGAAAACAGAGTTTTCATGACAAAAATATTTGCATGTCATAAACTGTTGTCGTAAAACCTTCAGGAACATAAGTATTGTTCTATATGTCATAAAACAGAAAATGCGTGTCATAACCTGCAGTCATAAATTTACACCAATTATAACTTGACACTTTTCTCTTGACTAATATGGGCCTGAGCCGACAATTTATAGAAAGGAAAGTCCATTTTGTAAATTCCGATAATGTTGGGTCATTTTGTTAAACGTTCAAAATGGCTTATTTTTCAATAAACGAAACGGAACGAACACGAGCACCCAGTTAACAAGCACAATAAACGATATGGAACGGGAACGATATTTCTATTCAATGAGTACGAATTTCATTATTTATCTAACAAATAATGGATCTCAAACGATTTCTCAAAAGGTTGGTAATATTCTAGTCAGACAAATCTCAAAAGTACCTAAATATAAAAATATTAGTGTACGTCTAAAGTCCTGTAAGGTGTTATAGCCAGAGTCTCCTGGAGGGAGAGCGGGAATTTGTGTATAGATCTATACGGGGTTGACACCCCACACCTTCGTTGTTCGCTACAGCTAAACCGGCCAGTCTAGGGTGACAAATGTCTTTATCAAAACGAGGACGCCTGAGAAACGCCAAAACAGGCTTCCGTCATATTAGTAAGGTTATAACGACTCACTAGAATATATTATATTAACTAGAAATTTATGCAAGGAAAACCTCATAAATAAATTTTGGCACATTGTGTTGACTGTCCTATGCATGGTAGTGATGGTCCGTATTTGTTGTGTCGATTGTCCTTTTTCATTGCGTAGAATGTCCACAATCGCCATGTTGATTTCTTTCACCTAACAAGTATTAGAGTCCTAATACTGCTATTTTACAAATCAGAAATCGTAGAATTTTATGGAGAACGTTTGTATACGATTTTGAAAACGATAAACTAATACACACATATGCAAGTTTACACGATTGGAAATAGAACTTACGAATATTTTTATAGCAGAAAATATAGGATTTTCTGGAGAAAACGATTTTATACGATTTCGATAACGATAAACTAGAACGCACACTCAATTATACCCGATAAGAAAAACAAGATTTACAACTATATTCTCTTTTATGAAAATAGGGGATTTTCTAGAAACGGTTGGCTATTACTATTTAAAAGAACTATTCTCGTACACAGCTCGCCTTTACAAAATTCACTACTTTTCAAAATCACTCCTTATAAGGATGAACAACAGTAATGACATGCACACATATATCCATGATTTTCAAAGCAAGGCTTCAAACGATTTCATAGAAAATATTGGATTTTCTGAAAGTACAATGAGAACGATTCTAAACAAGTGTAAAACGATTTTATACAAAAAATGCTTATGAACTCACCAACTTTTAGTTGACGCTTTTCAAAACGACTTGTATTCTCAGGGATCTAGTAAGGAGGTAACAAGGGACGCGGATGCAGGGCTATTTACCCGTAGTTTGGAATTTTCTGCTTATGTCTCTTTTGTGTAACTCGAAGAACAAATATAATATGTAAATAATGTAAGTTTGTTATCTCAATGTATGATGTTTGGATTGCTCTGTTTCATTTATATTCAATTGTTATAATACTGCACAATGTAGTCACCCGCCTCCGGACGTTTCCGCCGTCTGGTCCGGGGGTGTGACAATATCTCTCTAGAAAAACATTATCATAATATTTCAGGTTGGAAAGATCCTGAAGATTCAACAAGTGTTTGAAGAATCAGCACTTCCAACTTACATGGAGCACTTAAAGTTGACATGGAGAACTTGCTGTTGACATTGAGCACTTGTTGTTGACATGGACCACTTGATGAAAACAATTTGGATTGTCATGATCTCGGATGGCACATCTAGATCATATGTGGAGCATCAAGACATTAATTGATGGAGTATCTAGAATATTGATGGCTCATCCGAAACATTGTTGGCTCATCCACAACTCTATGGCTCAACAAGACGTTGATAGATCAACTTGAATACTTGGTGACTCATCTCAAGTCAATGGATCAACATGATCACATTGATGGCTCAACAAGATTGCACATGGCAAATCATGTACAATGAAGGCACGTCCAAATACTAAATGGCATATGCAGTTCGTTCATGGTCCATCATGAACATGTAGATGTACATCTTCAAGTTCAAGACACATTGCAACATTCAAGAAACGACTCAACTTGATGAATGACACTTCTGGAAGTTGATGACATCTTACAAGACCATGGAGCAACATGATGCTCATGTTGCTCATCACATTTTCAATGTTGATCAAGAAGGCTAAAGAAATATGAAGACTCATAACTTGGATGGAACCCTACCGGAATACTAATGGAATTGAAATATTCCATCCATTCTCCGTTAAGTAGGGCAAATGTGTCAACTGATGACTAAGTCATGATGACGTGTCAACACCTGATTGGTCAAGCTATGTCATGAGATTTTCCAAAGCATGTAAATAGGCCCCTTTGGATCCATTATAAAGTTGCTCTTCCTGCTTCATTCCTACTCATTCTACTCGATTACTGTTTAGACTAGTTTTCAGAGAGCTACTTTAGAGTTTTAGTGTGTTTTACATTCAAACACTTGTAACTGAATCTTTATGAATATAAGACACTTTTGAATCATTGATCTTGAAGATACAAAAACGTTTTTATCATTAACTTGGTGATTCACAACTCTTTATTTTCCATATTACATGTCATTTGACGATTATAAAACTCTGTTTCAGTATTTTCAACACTTGGACTCTTCTAGTCTAAGGTTTACTGCTTTTCTTATTTCATTAAATAATCCACGACTGTTAGCAAACCTATCAATCTCACCCGTGAGTCTCTCCCGTTTCCAATTTTCCTTCTTGACTCCCTCAGACTGAGCCTCCCTAATCGAATCCAACAATAGTGAAACTATAGAAATCCTCATATAAAGGCCCCCAATAATAGAACTAGCCGTCTTACGGCTCATAGCATCAGCCACCATGTTGGCTTTCCTGGGATGGTACAGAATCTCACGGTCATAATCCTTAACTACGTCCAGCTATCGACGTTGCCTCAAATTCAGATTTGGCTGATCCATGAGATATCTCAGACTCTTGTGATCTGTGTAGATGGTACAATGGACCCTATAAAGGTAATGCTACCAAATCTTGAGAGCGAACACCATTGCTCCCGAATCCAAATCATGAGTCAGATAAAGAACCTCGTGCCGGTTCAGCTGCCGAGAAGCATAAGAAATAACCCTACCCCGCTGCATAAGAATGGCTCCTAGGTCATCTTAATAGCCATTTAGAAATAAATAATTTATAAATTAAGTTTTACTTACTTTATTAAAAGGATGGTGATTTGTACACACTGCTTTTTAGTTATACACAATTTATGCTTACACAATTGTACTTTACAACTATATACAACATTTGTTATGTATTGTTAAAAATTTTAAATAACTCGACCAACATATACAGGAAATGGGTTTACATTCTTTATGTCCTAAACCAGATATATCGGTATTGGGCTCCTTGTTTTAAATTATAAACGGACATTAGATTATAATAGGATAACAAATTTATTTTGCCCATCATATTAATTATATTTCGACTTGTATCGAGCCCAAATAAGTCGGCAGAAATTTGATTGACTGGTTTTTAGAAGTCAAGACTTCCAATATAAAATTATTAACTCGATAAAAAAACATCACTTTTTTATTGCAAGTTGCAACCACTGCATTGCTTAACAAAGCAAGTCATCTTTGATTTGATGTATTTTTACGATAACGAGATATACTAAGAATGAAATTTAAGCTAAAAAATTCTAGGTTTCATAATGAAAAGTTTCAACAAACAAATATGCCAAAAAGTTAAACTTCAAAACTTTCTGTCGTTTTCATTATTCATTTTCTTTTATACTCTATTGTAGGGGAAATGATCCGACCTGAAAGATCATTATCGACGTTCATTTTACTGGATGTCTAGACACACAAATTGAGTTAGATAAAGACATTGTTGAATCTGGAGATAAAGATAGATACAATTGCTTGCTCTCAATCATGGCTGCTAAAGCATCTTATGAAAACCATGCTTACCTTCAACATATTGTCACTGATATCTGGAAGGTACTATATATAGTTAGTTTCTTTTGACAAAAATATGTATTTTCTTCTGATCAAAAGATGTTGTATGTAACCAAACATTTCAATTGCAGATGGAATTATTGGGGTCTTTTGATTTTTGGAATGGTAAGTAACAAGGTATCTAAATGAAACTTCTCCCATAATTCGGTGACTTTACGAACACTATCCTAAATAAAAATATCATCGCACATATCATTCGTATATCTTTTGAAGATTATTAACAGAAAGCCACAACACAAGCCTTCATACTTCGTGATAAGAAAGTAGATTCTGAATTGATAGTTGTCGCCTTTAGAGGAACATAGACCTTCGATGCAGATGCATGGTCTTCAGATGTCGATCTTTCATGGTATGAACTCCCTGGGATAGGAAAAGTGCATGGTGGGTTCATGAAAGCCCTAGGGTTACAAAAGAGTCTAGGTTGGCCAGAAGAAGTAACCCATCGAACCAAAAATCTAGAACAACCATTAGCATATTATGTCATCAGGGACATGCTAAAACAAGCTTTGAAAGCAAATAACAAGGCTAAGTTTATCGTAACTGGTCACAGCTTAGGTGGTGAACCTGCAATACTGTTTCCAGCAGTTCTAATGTCGCATAATGAGGTAGAGTTTTTGGATATGTCAGAGGGTGTGTATACATCTGGGCAACCAAGGGTCGGGGACAAAAGATTTGGAAAGTTCATGAAAGAAAATTTGGAGAAATTTGACGTGAAGTATTATAGGACTGTTTATAGCAACGATTTGGTTCCAAGATTACCTTATGATGATTCGACCATGATGTTTAAGCACTTTGGGACCTGTTTATACTTTGATAGCTTTTACAATGGAAAAGTAAGCATCTCTCTCTCTCTCTCATTAGACATGTACGTAGGTCTTACTATTTCACGGGGTTATTGCAGATTATGGAGGAAGAACCGAACAATAACTATTTCTCGCCATTATCAACTTTACCGAAGTTGATCAATGCAGTATGGGAGATCATAAGAAGCTTTATGATTCCATATACACAGGGAGCCGACTACAGTGAAGGGTTTGTACTTAAGATGTACAGATTAATCGGGTTGATGATTGCCGGAGTACCAGCTCATGGTCTTCAAGATTATGTTAACGTTGTGCGTTTAGGATCAGATTTATATAAAGGTCCTAGGTCGATCAAAGATAACGAAATAAAGCTTGTGATCCACGATGGAACCTTGATGTAACATGGATTTCGTTATTTTTGAAATAAATTAAATTTATAATTGATGATGGATGGACTTCGTTATATTGATCGTTTGAAATAATTTTTTAAGTGCCAAACATCATTTTCCCACTGCTAGAAAACTCGATGAATTCCTACGAAATTAGTGACAAAATTTTTCAGGCAGAAATTAGTGATGGTATTCCGACGAAATTGTGACAAAGATAAAAACCATAATTTTTGTGACGGAATACTGACACAATAGCGACAGAAATAACTTTCGTCGAAAATCCGTCGTAATTACCAACGAAATGTAAGCGAAATTAGTGATTTGGGCTATTCATCGATATTCAGTCGGTAACTACCGACGGATTTCTGATGGAAATTTTTTTTTAGAATTAAATTAACTTTTTTTACTAGTAACATTATAAAAATAATTTAGTTAATATTATTAGTATTAGTAATTAAACAATTCTAGATTTTTATAATTAAAATATTATATATATTTACCGAATAATTCAATTTTCTATTAATTATAGTATAAGTATTTTTGTTATTATTTATAATTAGTAAAAAAATATACTAATTACCAACGTAAATTTTTTCTAGAAAATAATAATTTTTTTTATTAGTATTATTATAAAACTAACTCAATTATTATTAGTAACATTATTAATTAAATAACTATTAACTTTTATATTTAAAATATTATAATTATTAACCAAATAATTCAACTCATCTACTTATTATAGTTATATTATTATTATTAAAAAATTACCAACAAAACTGTTTTTTGTAAAATAAATCAACTTTTTTATTAGTATTATTTTAAAAATAGTTCAATTATTATTATTAGAATTAGTATTTAAATACAAAATCTAATTAAATGTTTGTTATTTTGCAGCAATTATGCATTGTATAGAGAAAGATGTGGATGAACTAGTCTTGGTTTGGTTGTTGGTTTTCATTGTACTTATATAAGTGTTGACGTGCTTTTATGTTTCTTATTAAAACATTGTACTTTGTAAGTACATTGCTAAAAGAGGCACTTAGGTAAATAACAATTTTAAATTTTAAAGGTATGATGTTTCAGTTTGTTTAATGTAAGTATATTGCTAAAAGCTGCTTAAAACCTTCGTTGTACTTACAAAATTTACTTTTTATATTCGTATTGTATTTTTACTGTAAGTTAAATATGAATGTGTTCGAGAAGAGATTTGCAAAAATATGCATGTTCCAAAGCATAACATTAGAGAAAATCAAGAATTATATATGTATATAAAACTTAGATTAAATTGTTTGGTTTTGGATTATGTTATTTTGGTATTTCATGACTAATATTTGATTTTGGATTATGAAATTTTTGTTTTTAAATACTAATATTTGGTTTTGGATTTAGTAATAGTTATTTGATGTTTTTTACATTTAAATGTAATGTTTTTTTTTCTACATTTTGGGCAGAAAAATTGGATATTATTTTTAATTTTTTTTTATCAATTTTATGACAAATTAGTGATGGAAATAGTCGTTACTAAAATCTGCAACAGTCCATCGGAAATCCGTAGCAAAACAGTCAGTCGCTAATCTGTCGGAAACAAAGTACATTCCGTCGGAAATCAGTCACTATAAGTGTCTGTCGGTATTCCGTCAGTCAAAGTGTTCGTCGGTATTCCGTCACTAATGTGTCCATCGGTACTCCGTCACTATCCTGTTGTTAATTTGGTCAAAGAAGTTCAAAAAAATGTCGTTGCTATTGTCGGTAATCCGTCACAAATTATGTCGGTATTCCGTCGATAATATTTACCCACGGAGTTTTTTACGACATACCTAATTCCGTCGGAATTCGGCTTTAGCGACGGATTTCCGACAGACACGACCGTCGAAAATTGCCAAGTTTTCTAGTAGTGTCTAGTACCACTATTGAATCCCAATAGGACAAAATTAGATAAATGGTCTTTTGGTTGGTATAAAATACCAGCACAAGTCTAAAATCAAAATAGAAGGTTAATATATTAGTTTCAAAGTCGTGGTGTAATAACCTTATGACTGACACTTCGTACTCTGCCTAGCATCTCGCCTTTTTTTTTTGGGAAAACAACAGACGAATTAAACAAATAATAATTGAGCGAGCACTCCGGATTTATAATTCTTTACATGGAACTCAGCATCCTTAGAGATTTCTAGGGAAAAATTCTTCACATGTAACACCACAAGAGTTCGTTTAACCTCTCGTTAGACTTCTTTTTTTATGAAATCTCGTCTTGTTAAAAAAAAAAGCTTCGTGCAAATGAGAGAATTATAGTATTATGATTTGGTTTTTATGATACATAACGTGGTAAACTCTACCTCAAACCAAAATTATTGATCTATTACATTTAAATGATATTTTTCATTTAATATATAATATTAAATTTAATAGGTTCGGTTATATAATATAATTTTTTTACTTAATATTAATAAAACTAGTTATAAACTCATAAAAAATACAGTTAAAAAAACACATTATTATATTTCGAAATCGTAATGAGTAATTAAATAGTTGCAAAAAGTTTATTAATTTACAAAGTTAAAAGTTGTGAGTAAGTTTATAATTTAGTATTAAAATATATACACTGTTATGCTTGGCAAATGTGACCTGGACCCGGAGAGCACACCGCACCCTATCCTCGACATATTGAGTTTGGAGGCTTGATTCGGTAACGGCTAGTCGATAGTTGTTCCTATAACTCTTATGTTTAAATACTATCAAACCATTCACCAAAAATATAACAAAAAAAATCCAAAAATGACAAATCTAAAATATATCAAACACGGTAAAGAGAGTCATCACAACGTACACATATACAATGGTTAAACATAAGAAATATCAATGCCTTTATTTATTTGAATATGATAGATTAAAAGCATTATATTTTCATTTATTTCGATTAAAGCATTATACTTTCAAAATTTTCTTATTAGTGCATTGTATTAAGAAAATTCTATCCATTAATAGCATTATGCTTTCAACTTCTTTTCATATTAGGAGATTATACTTTGAAAAATTTAACAAAATATAGCATTGAAAATGCTATATATGGAGATGGCATTGCTATAATTAATTCGATAGATTTTCTAAAGTAGAGTGTTAAAAAAAGAAACAAAAGTATGATCCAATAATAAACAAATCAATAAAGTACGTTGTTATTCATTATAATTACTCTATACAACAATATAACATATAATCACCATCAACCAACTATTACATGCTCATCGATTCCAAAAGTATAACAATATTCATAAATCATTCCTAGCTATCGATGATAGTAGAACACATTTTTAATACTAAAAAAATGCAAATTTACAGATTTAGGTACATTTCTATGTAAAGTCCCACTAATCATAGTAAAAAATTTGTCAAACTACTCATTCATTGTTCGAAAAACGGTCAGGGTCAAGGTATTCTCAAAACATCAGAGTCATTTGTAAACATTCAATGCATATATATTTTCCGGGGATGCAGTGCAATCAAGTCGGGCCCTTCCTTTTGAAAAGGGAAGTACCTTAAACTATAAACATAAAACCGTAAGCATAAAGCTTAGTGAGTTTCCCCCAAAATACCACCATACAAACATATAACAACTTGCATACATGAGCCTTCAGCCTACTATACCGCCTCGCAGGGCCTACAATCTATATGGACCGCTCTGCGGGCCTTCGTTCTGATTGGATTCGGACCGTCCTCCGGGTCTTCAGCCTGACTGGACCGCATTGCAGGCCCTACAACCTATCGGGACCGCCCCAGGTAACTTGGCCTCCAGGAGGGTTTTTAATACCATGTTTATCATAAAGATGATAACTTTATAGACATGCATGTCCAATACATGTCTAGATTGCATTTTAGGTCAAGATGAACTAAAAATGACCAAAACTCATGCAAAAGATAAGAGCTCCAACCAAAGTCTAGATCCACAACATAAGATGCTAATGGGACTTAGGAGAGTCATAAAGTTGCAAACTTTATGAGTTTCATCCTTCCAAACTTGCTAAAACATGAAGAACAAGGGACAATATCTTATATATAGCCACTTCAAGCCATATAAATTGAGCCTTTGACACTTATAGAGGTCTAGAAGCTATGTGAGATATTGACGATGTTGGTTCCTTGAAAGTTCCAGTAATGGAGTTCCTTTTTCTCTTTCTTTTCTTCTTTTCCAAGCCAACAATGCTCCCAAAAAGATCACAAATCTCCAAGGGAACGAGAGCTATGGTTTCTCTGAGGTATAAGGGTGTTGGGGGCTGATAATGAACCCTGGAAATGGTTTAGAGAGGTTTAAATATGAAGAAAACCCTAAAACATCATGAGATTGGGCTATAACAACTGGCACGCATTGGCGCCTCAAATATACACACAATCCTCCAAGCCATCGCCACGACGTGGGCATCCTTGGAGTACGTCATGGCATAAAGTTTCCTTCAAAACTTCATATTTGGTCCCTGATAAAAGTAAGCTTAGCCAATCTGGAACACGTGTGTTACAACTCTCCCCCACATAAATTAGATTTCATACTCGAAATCATCTCCTACTACTCTTTCTACTGCATCAGTCAACCCTGCCCAAACATCATGAGCTCCTAATTAGACTGAACAATCATGTCTTACAGTCGACCATCTTCTAGTACTGCTATCAAAGACCATTCTTAGCAGAAATCACTTATCCTGGCGAAGAAGCGAACCTTGCCATACCAACCTAACCAATAAAGAGTAACCATCACTACTCTGGCCCATATCCGAAAACCCCAAGACCATGTCTGTCTTCCAAGCAGACGAAATCATTCTAAATCCCAACCATAATGACTTCATTCTTCATCCCAAACAAAACAAATCTCTTCGACCCTAAATTATTACAATGATACCGGAGAAGAGGAACCTTTAAGTATCCACCGACGCCTATTACCATGCACCCGGAAACAAATCGACTCCTAAGATGAGTCTCAATCATTGGTGCCATACCAAAATACAATCACCAACTGCTAACCAAAA